TCTATTGGACCCATTTTTTGTGGGGGGGGGGGTTTCCGAAAAATCCCAAATCTCAATACCGGCAAAGTATTCGAATCCAGGATTTTATTTTGGAAATCCTGATTTTTTTCAGGTCCAGTAGATCTGAGATGGAAAACACCGGGGGTGGGGTGGGTGGGGGAGACCAGGAGGAAAGCCGCAGAAAACAGCTGCTTCCTACCAGGACTGACGGACATTATGATTTCCCCAGACTACCCAGTTGAATCAAAGGATCTATAAAACTGACGCTCATCAACTCAAGGAGACCAGGGAGTTCTGAGCTTCTTCCAGCAGTGGCTTGTGGGCTAGCTGCTTATCTGATGATGAACACTGCAGCTGTAGAGCACACGCAAAATGCCACTTATGTTGTATTGTGAACAAATAATGGTCAACACATGGTAGATTGGAATGTATTTCTCTGGTCTGGGGACAGAGGAGGTACACTGTGCAGCCAACTGTACCACCTCAAAGAAGAGGATGCGGCACTGTTGCCTCCACACTTGAGAGGAGACAGATGTAGCGTGAGAGCAAAGTCTCAGGTCATTACTCTCAGCATTCCACAGTTAAGAAGGGCACATCTGCCCGTCAGTCTCCAATTCTGATCTATTTATTTCCTTCACTATGGTTTTCCCCGGAATTAAACCCAAACAAACGAAGACCATATAAGCTTATTATTCCAGTTTGGTCCTTACATCTGAGAGCCAGTTTGGCGCAATGGTTAGGAGCATGGACTCTGATCTGGGACAACCGGGTCTGAGTCCCCACTCCTCCACAAGCAGCTGCTGGTGTGACTTTGGGCCAGTCACAATTTCTCTCTCATGAGCAGTTTCTGTCAGAGCTCTCTCAGCCCCACCTACCTCACAGGGGGTCTGTCATGGGGAGGGGAAGGGAAAGGAGATTGTAAGCCACTCTGAGACTCCAAGGGAAGGGCGGGGTATAAATCCAACCTCCTCCCCCTCCCCCTCCATCTGTTAAACACTTTTATTATGCTGTATACTGATTTGCTGGTCACTCTGTACCTATACGTATGGATTGGGAACTTTGGTTTCAATGTGTCTGAAGAAGTGCGCATGGACATGAAAGCTTATACCTTGAATAAACCTTGGTTGGTCTTAAAGGTGCTGCTGGACTCAGACTAACACATGGGACGTTTGACTTGGGAGAAAACAGGCACGGTGAGTAGGGATACGTTGGCATAAAATAACACACACATTACAACGACGCTGAAGGCAGGGGTCATTTCCTGCCGGAGCGCACAGGAGCGGAGCTCCGGCAGTAAAGAGCCCAGGGGGCGGGCACATGCAACAAGCCCCACCCCCTGCTCCCAGCAGCCCTCAGTCAGAGCAAGAAGCGGCCAGGTAAGCTGCAGAGCTCCCCCCAGTCCAAAACAGTCCAGTGGCACCTTTAAGACAAAGTTTTATTCAGGTACAAGCTCTCCCTCCTCTGCAAGGACAGATCTGCACGTCCCCCCCGCCCCCAATAGCTAGCAATCCAAAACAGTCCAGTGGAGCCTGAGCGGTGGGTGTTGCCTTCTGACACACGTCCGTTGATGTCAGGAGGTGCGGTATATGCAAATGAGTTATGCAAATGAGTTATGCTAATGAGCTCCGGCACCTCTTTTTCCCTACGGAATGACCCCTGGCTGAAGGAAGGAATACCTTTTTGACGGTTAGGATGCCTTCTTGTGTTTCCTTGTCGGTGACGACGCCAAACATTTCCAAGCCGTCCCCTTCCGTGATGCTGTATTTCATCTCTGCATTTTCACCCACGTCAGCATCTGTCGCTTTGATCCTGCCGACTGGCGCGTCTGGCGGTGCCGACTCTGCAATTCTGAACTGGTAAGCACCTGCAGGTAACGAAAGGGCAGCTTCAAACGATTCCGTTTCAAGACATCCTAATAACATACAGCTTGCTCTTGCCGTACACATTCTGTAATTACCCACACAGTCATGATGCTAGGCTGGTGTGCCTCCATATCTTTATTGCGATTTATCCTGTTCAATAAGAATATCAATAAAGCCTGATTTAAACTAGTGCCCATTACGTATTGACTCGTGGAGCGGCATTACATTTAAAGGGTCCATTTTTGTTTTTTTTTTAAAAAAAACAATTTATTAGGATATATGAAAAAGTTAAACATATATCAGTACTTAATTCATTATACATCCTTTCCTCCTCCATTCCCTCCCCCCTTTTCGGCTTCCCATAGTGCTCCAACCTCCTGCTACATTTTTATAATCACTTCATTCCTCTCTTTTTCATAATACATCTCTAGGTAACTTATCTTTCAATTGCTATTCAAATACATTTATCCATTTTCTACTTCTTTTAACTTTCAGTAGTTATCAAAGCAAATCAAATTGTCTTTCACATCCCAGTATTTTTCTAAGTACTCCTTAAAGTCTTTCCAGTCTGCAAAACATTCTTCTGCTTCCAAGTTATTAAGTTTCCTTGTCATTTTGTCCATTTCCACCATAAAAAGTAATTTTTTAATCCATTCCCCAATCTCAGGGACCTTCTCTTGTTTCCAACATTGGACATATGTCATTCTGGCAGTAGTGATCATATACCACATCAATGTCCTTTTTGCCATATTGACTTCTTCCATTTTAAGTCCCAAAAGTAAAATTTCTGGCTCTTTCTTAAATTTACATTTCTCAATTTTTTCCATTTCAGCATGTATTTCAGACCAAAATACTTTTGCCTTCTCACATGTCCACCACATATGATAAAACGAGCCCTCTGCTTTCTTACATTTTCAACATTTGTTTGACATATTACTATTCATATTTGCAATCTTTTTTTGGTGCCATATACCATCAAGGGTCCTTCGTTTTTAACTCGAGCGCTGCTCCTCATTCATGCTGTGCTGTTTTCCTTCTGAGCCATAGATTGCTGGCATACAAGATTCATCTGTGTACAAACTGGCCCTTGTACAACATGATAATTTAAGGCAGTGTGTCTGTAGTGCCATCAGGTTGCTTCCAACTAGGGTTGCCAGGTCTGGGTTGGGAAATACCTGGAGACTTTGGGGGTGGATCTGGGAGAGGGCGGGGTTTGGGGAGGGGCCTCAGCAGGGTACGATGCCATAGAGTCCACCCTTCCAAGCAGCCATTTTCTCCAGGGGAGCTGATCTCTGTCAGCTGGAGATCGGTTGTAAAAGCGGGGGATCTCCAGGCCCCACCTGGAAGCTGGCAACCCTACTTCCAACTTATGGTGACCCTATGAATGAATGGCCTCCAAAAGATCCTATCGTTAACCAGGGCTATTTTTGAGCAGGAACGCACAGGAACGGAGTTCCGGCTGGCTCCCGAGTTGGCCACACCCAGCAGGAACTCATTAGCATAATAGGCCACACCCAACAGCAGGAACTCATTAGGATTGGCTACATTAGGGGTGTGTGGCCTAACATGCAAAGGAGTCCCTGCTACAAAAAAGCCCTGGGTTTTGACAACAAACAAGGTAAACAGAATAACAAGCAAAAGGTGGGTGTGGCTGGATAACCACACTTCTGGCAACATGGGGGTGCGGCCTAATATGCTAATGAGTTGTGTTGTCCAGTGTGACCTAATATGCTAATGAGTTTCTGCTGTTGGGTGTGGCCTATTGTGCTAATGAGTTCCTGCTGGGCTTTTTCTACAAAAAGAGGCCTGGAACAACTGAAAGCAGACACACATGACTAGTGTCTATTGAACAGAGAGTAACAACAGGAAAGCATTTAATACAATTCTCACTTAATTGATTTCACTGCAATTTCTCCTGACTCTTTTAAATAACCCTTTCCAATAACACAGGCACTAAACTGAGCAAAGGAACAACCTGCTTAGGACTAATGGCCAGAGGTCAACAGCTGGAAGCGTATGTGAATGAATCAGATATTTAGGGACCCTCAACGAAATGAAGTAAGCTGATAATACCTGAAAGTATAAGGGTCTGTTCTGAAATCTATGTTCTCCAAACCCAAATTTAACCGTAAGAATAGCTGGGTTTCCCAGCTGCTACAAATTTGCACAATTTCTCTCATTTATTCCACTCCCACCTACCACAGGGAGGGGTAAGGAGCAACGGAGTGTGTCAAAGCCATGCCTCATTTCTCAGTTTCAAGCATATGTTTGCAACAGTAAAAGTAAAAATGTATTTTCTTAGATGAAAGCTGATGTAACGGGGGGAGCTGAGTTCTGCAGCTGGTGTGCCACATTAGGTGCTTTTTCTGCACACAGATGTACAACAAACTGTACTTGATATTCTCCCAAAGGTATAAACACACTACCTTCTCCACCAAAAAACCCGCCATTTTTTCACCATTCGCAGGGCATCCTCTTATAAAGTCCACAGTGTTAGAGTGGAGAAGTGAACACAAGGTTTACTAAATAAGGCTTAACTATTAAAGTTTCCATACTTTGGGGGAAGCGAGGTGGGTTATCGTTGACATCGGTCAGTGTGATGTTGACCGTGGTGGTTCCCGACAATCCGCCCATCTGTCCTCCCATGTCTTTGGCTTGGATGACCACTTGGTATTGCTCCCGGTTTTCTCGGTCCATGTTCAACAAAGCTGTTTTGATGATGCCTGGGAATAATAATAATAATAATAATAATAATAATAATAATAATAATAATAATAATAATGAAAAACCCTGAAAGATTCAATTGAAGGTCCTGGATAATTCAAAGTTTGAGGAGGTCCCTCCCCTTTTCAAACCCCGCCCCCAAATCTCCAGGCATTTCCCAGTCCAGAGCTGGCAACCCTAGACTGGCATTATATCTGCAAAAGGCACTGTGGAAAACTCCGAGCTCTCTGCAAGTGCAGCTGTGTCAGAGGCTGAGTTCAGACTTGCAGTTTGACCCGATATAGGCCCGTTTCACACACGGATTAAAGGGGCCGGTTCACACAGGCAGGCACAGCTGTCCGGCGTTCCCCAGCCGTACTCAACCCATCTTGTAACGCTTCCCTCCCGAGTTTAAAAAATACCAGGTGAAAGTGGTAGCAAACACTGGAGAGCCCGTTTATCCCGCTTCCTGGATGTGTGCACGCTAAAAGCTGCAAACAAGCTGCATTGCTGCGCCTATGCACATAGGCGCATGTCACTGGAGTGAAAAAAAAGCCACTTACAGCCGCGCCTCTGCCAGGGGCGGGCCAACATTGCGAACGCTCCCTTACACCTCCTCCCCGGTATGCTCCCGCATCAGTCAGTGCAGTGTGACCGGGAATACCCGGAACAAGTTGTTCTGTGTCTTTTTTGCCGCAACTCCCTCGCGCTTCAAACTGCGAGTCTGAACTGAGCCATAAAATTCTTTTATCAGCGTATTTGCCCCACTGCTGATCATGAAACTGAAATGAAGATGGTTTCCCTGTGCACTGTCATATTTCTTTGTGTGTGCATTTTTTTTTTAAAAAAACACCCCTTTTCATCTTTCAATCAATTTTTAATTTTGACGGCCAGAATAAACACCAGGGAAACCAGCTTCACCAAAGCTTCATTAAAAACAGAGCACTAAATCTTAAATTGAACGGGAATTCATTAAGAATGTAGCAAGCACTCTCTCTTTTTTTAGAAAAACAGAAACCGTGATGGAAGAGGTGAAAAACCCGCTATTGGGGATGCATATGTATGCTATTTCCAAAGCTGACATAAAGACATGAAAGCCGAGATGAAGCTATACCTCAGAAGAGGAAGAGTTATACTGCTTGGAACATATTTTGATTGATTAGATCAGGAGTGTTGAACTCATTTGATACGAGGGCCGGATCTGACATAAATGAGACTTTGTTGGGGCGGGTCACGTGTGTCATAAAATGTAATGCCAGGTAGCAGAGATATAAACTTTATAAAGGACACAAAGGCCCTGTTCACACGAGGGGTTTTGGGCCGGGAGAGGGACGGATCGGGGCCACAGCAAACAAGCGCGATCCCACAGCAACATCTGGGAATCGTGCTGCGCCCGTCCCCCATCCGTCCCTCCCACCGAAAAAGCGCACCAAAAAAGAACCACCTAAATGGGTGGTTCAATCGAAAGGGCTGCGGCAAGTGCGGCTGTGGGATCGCCGGCGCATCCTTGCGCCGGCGCATCCCCGCTCCCCGGCCGAACTGCACATGCTTGAGCATGCGCAGTTCGGCAGCCTCCCCCTCCCCCT